TTTTCCGCCGCCTTAAGGGGCCACGGTACGCGGATACGCTCTTTGTGACACGCGAATCGAGGCGTGGCTGTTTAAGGCAGGCAGGCAGGCAAGCAGGCAGGCAGGCAGGCAGGCAGGCAGACGCGACTCCGTCGGCGCGGCGCGGCGTTTCCCCCTCGGCCAGGAAATTGCGAACGTCGCGGCGCGCTTACCGTGCCTTGATTTTTCGACAGCGATTTTCCCCTTTCCCGCCGACTTCCGGCGTCTCCTTTACCTGCCTGCCCTCCTGCCGCGTTGAAGAAAGAGCAGGCAGATTTCAGTCGCCTCGAGGACACTCCTCTTGACGGCGCCCGGCGACGCAAGAAAACTGGATGAGGTCTCGCGTGCCTCCGACTTCTTCACCCGCTCGACAGACGCTATACACACAACGGCGCGAAGAAAAGGGACTTGAAAATTTAAAGGCGTGAAACACGCACCTTAGAGGAAGAAAATGCCAACTCAACTCGCTCGAAAATAAAAGACATCCCAAGTTAAAGATTACAGCCTCGTGGTATTTAATGTAATTTCTATACACATTGCGAAGGAACATGGGAAGATTATTTTATATACCTTACAAATTTTTATATATCTATATGTTATGTAAGTTATATACTCCCGCAAAGTAACAAGAAAGCAACCGCAAAAGGAAATATGTTTCACACACATTTCCTGGCTGTTACGTAACGATTTCCGCAAGCTGTTTCCGCTTCTGCCCTCGTAATAATTCTCACCGAATTCGCACAATCTACCGCGGCAATTTTCAGACTTAAAGACTGCAGGGGAGGCTGCGTGATGATGTCTGCAGGAGGACCCGGGATGTACCCTTCGCAAACAATCGATTCCACGCGAGCAAACTTGACGCAGAGGATCAGGGTCAACCCTTGTCTATTTGCCGCTAACAACTAAGTAATCGAATCTTGTAATACATTGCCGTAGACTTAGACCATTAGGTACACAGCGATATGCATATTTATGCATATTTACGTAAGCCCATGCAAGATTCATGAAGCTCGCAAATGTGACATTCGACTGGGAGCAACACGCACGGTTAGATTTCTTATCTTTGGAGTTCTTAGAAGAATTGCAAGGCGAGCGGTTTTTTTGTATTTTATAAAAGATAGATTATCTAAAAAAAAAAAAATTATATAATTGAACTCGATATAAATCTTCTCATAAATACAATTTAATTATTGTATATAAAAAGAATTACACATGGACTTCGTTTCTCATAAATTCTAATACTCTTCTAACTGCTGCATGTCTCTAGTACTTTTCTAATATCATTATTATTGACGCATTTGTGGAATTAAAAGCAAGAATTTGTAATATTCCCAAGAAATTCAATAAAGACGCCATTCGCGGGTCTTAAATACTCGGAAAATTAATGGGAACAGAGAGCGACGTTTCAGCGTCACGCGTCAGACGTCTATTAAAACCTTTTATCGATTAAGCGGATTTATAATCAATTAAGAACGGGAACGCGGATCGCGATCTTGAGTCCGGTTTTATCGATTAAATTATTATTATTGTGGTCCTTCGCGCGCGGCCCACTCAGCCATCACTCAGCCGCCTTGTCGTCCGTTTAAAACCAATCAAGACTATCGGCCGTGGTTATTAGCGTGTCGATTAAGTGCGCGCCAACGTGCAACTCGCTCGGAGACGGTATGATATTATCGCTGCCGCGCGATGCGATACAGGCGATAAACGCTACGGCAATTTTCCAACGCGCCGGAATAAGGACGATCGTTATCGGACTGATAAACAGTTTTTTTTTCTTTACGCAAATCGCGTCCCGCGAGGAAACGTATTATTACGCGAATATAACGTGCCTCGATCTGCTATTACGAAATCGCAAAATTATACAGATTAAAGTCTCCCGGTCGGTAGGATAAGAGCTTGAAATGAGCACGGAGCACCGGCTATAAACCGCGGGCACCGCGGAAAATAACTCTTTTAACGCGCGCGTGCACCGAAAGAACGCACGGCTGATTAGACGCAGATTATTTCCTACTATTTGCATCTCTCAAGTCCGACAAGTGCTGCTTACGCACGTACGCCCGGCCCGGATCGGCCGGATCGCATTATCGCGATTGCAGACACGAACACGCCGTGCCGCACATGCACGCGGCATTCCCGTGATTAGCCGACGAGCAGGCAGACTAATTACCGAAATATCGGGTGCAACACGCGAGTATTACCTCGTACGTCAACATTAATGTGTAATAATGGCCGGGGCATCGTTGGCGCGCAAACTCCGATACACACGTGCGTGAAGCAATAGCGCGGCGCAAATAGGAGCGACGAGCGGGGGTTTGGGGCGCGAAGGGAGAGAGAGAAATAGAGAAGACAAAGTGACGGATGATTACGTGTCAAAACGCGACATAACCGTTTCGCGTCGTGGAGCGGATCGCGCGGCGTGACATGATTGCGACCCGCACCCGGGTATAGGCCGCTACGATCGGGACCGCGCGCGACCCCGCGCCGGGTATCTTCGCAGCCCCCGCTGATAAACGAGCCTGTTGCAAATTACTTTATCGCGACTGCACTTTCAGCGGGCTCCCTCCTCGCCCCCTCCGCGCACGGACCTCGATAAACGTCCCCCTCCCGGCGAGATGCATTATTCAGAAGACGCTATTCGGCTAAATTGTGTACCGACTAATCGAAAAAATAAAAATGCTTAACGACGTGATTGACAAATAATCGGATTATTTACAATTACGTAAAACACGCGATTCCGCGGCGCGATGCGTCACCGGAGCGATCGATATTGTCTAGCCGCGTTCGGCGAAACAATGGAAAAGAAGCAAATATCACGCGGATATCGGTGAGTATATACGGAGCTGTAGCACAATTGCTTTTTGAAATTGCGGTATTTACACGGTAGACACAGGAGTGCATGCGAAAACGATTGCGAATCCCCGAAGCGATTTGCCGTTCTCGTTTGCCGAGCCCGTCGTTCGCGATCGACTCGCCGGCCGATACCTATACGCGATTAGCATGTACACGCCACGGCTGGATGTCGACGATTAGAGGCGTCGTAAACGTGGCGATTTCCTTGAAAGACGCGCGCGCGAGCGCGGGGGAGACGAACTCCATCGATCTTAACGCACCGAGGCCGTCTCGAGATGTACAATGAGTGGCAAACAAAAGCGAGCGCGCGTCCACGCACCCACCCGGCCGCTCGCCCGTCCGACGGCAATCAATTACGGAATTGCTGGAGTCAGGCGGTTTTGACTGGGCCGTGCGGGCAATTTATCAGATTAATCGCGGAGGAAGTGATTCCCGGCGGATGATGGGACCAACGCGCGGCCGCGCGCGCGCGCGCGCGAACGGCCTCCATATGTCAAGAAGTGACCAGGTGTCGGCGTCCAGACCGGCCGGCCTGGTTAGAGAGAGAGAGAGAGAGAGAGAGAGAGAGAGAGAGAGAGAGAGAGAGAGAGAGGGCGAAACGTGCGACGGATAGGCAACGTGTGTAGCGCACAGAAAAGGGGGTGGTGGCGGTGTATGGACTGGCACCACCCGCGCGGGACACGCGATATCGAAACCAGCTGTCGATCGGGGACGTATCCCCGAGTATATCGTGCCGTTTCCGCGCGCGGCCACGCTGTCCGCTCTGGTACGAGGTCCCGTCCGTTGCATTCCCACCAGGGAGAGCAGACTGCGTGCAGACGGGACGCGCGTACAAAGGCGATATATCGTCGCGAGGAGGCCGCAATTTCGCCGTCGGTACGCAATTTGCGCGGGCGGTTATCTCGCGGCAGGGAGACGATACAACGGCGGAGGAACGGCGATAAGCGCGCTCGGTGGCGCTTTGAAGTACGAAAAGTGCGATAGCACGGCTCCGCGCTAATACGCTGCGTCGCGTCGTAAAGTCGTATCTATTGTGTGGCGTTACGAAACATACGTCTCTCCGATAAAGCGGATGTATTCTTATACTGAACGATATCGCGATATAGAGAGCGATATAGAAATACGAGAGAGATTACATGTATAATATCCTGCAGTGTATATAATTTCATATACGCAAAAGTTTGGAAATGTATAACGACTTCAATTACGCGGAATGATATATCTAATCGTGCAATTATATTAACATCTGATTACAATCAACTGTATTATGATATACCTATTTTATAGCGTATATATAGCTATGCTCCAATTTCAACGAGCGGGGGGATTGGAGGGGGGGGAGGGGGATACGCAAATATACGCGCAAATACGCATATGATTGATTATAGCAGAACGGCAATGTATTTTTCATCGTCGATCCCGCTAATGACTCGCGCATAGAAACGCGAGATCCCGCGGCATGCAAAATGTGGCGATAGGAGAACAACGGGGGGAGATTTCGCGGGCGCAAAACTATACGCGTTCCGAGCGCGCGTCGAAGTGCGTACAGTGTACGAGCGGAGTGGTTGGCGAGGGGGGGGGGAGTAGTAGATTGAAACTCAATTATTGGTCGTGTTAACGGGCTTGGCACCGCATCATCCATTATTTTCGGATTTTGCCCGTGCGGCTAGGCGCATAAATTACGCGCGCCGGAGTTCATCATCAAATATACATATATTATTCGCGCCGCGTATTCCGGCCACACAGCGCTCGCGCGCGTCATTCTTTAGTATATATAAAATCTACATCCCACTGGCCCCAAATGTCCCCGGTGCAACCACCTGGACGCGATATACCCGGCGTTAATCGCTTGAGATTTCGATTCCAGTACCGTGTCGCGTATACTGCAAAAGCACTAAACTGACTCCGGATCTGACATCGGTAATCCGAATTACCTGATCTTTGTATCCTATCTCTCTTGCAATTTTCGTATTTCTTTTTCTTACTTCTACCTATAATCTTCAGAAGGGACCGTCTTTTGATCTAATTATTGATCGAATGTATCACTATTTTTGTTAATCGTGTATTAGATAGTAGAAATTTCACGCGTGTTGAAAATGGCATGTTGGTGAAAATCGTTCAAGATCACTCACCTTTTGCGCTTTGCATGCAGCGGCCAACGGCAGAACGTCGTGAGGATGCGCGGCGTGACGATCGCGAAGACACAGGGCGCATATCGCGATCTTGCAAAGGGCGCAGTAGAGGGTCACCGCTTCGCCATTGTGATCGTTGCAGATCGGCGTGCCCTCGGGCCGAGATCCCTTGCTCCCACTTGATTGCCAGCTGCCTCTCGGTGGTCCCAGGTTGTGGGCCGCCAACGGGCCCCTCTTCGGATGGCAGGACTCCCTGCAGGCGTCGCAGTATAAAACCTGAAAGGGGAATCGTCGAATTTGAGTAATACTTCTCTATAGAAATATTAAAATGCTAGAGAGAACGGGCAATGTTCACTTTCAACACATCGATTTTTACTTAAATGGATATCTAGAGTCTCTAGAGAAAAGTTGTCGCTATAAAAAATATCAATAAAATTTTTGCAGCGTTTGAATTGTTCTCCTTTTATTTTTTTTTTTACTGCATTTTCATTAAATAATAAATGTGCAAAGATATACGGCGTCGATAAAATTTTTTTAGTTACGTCAGGCATCAAATACATTCTACTTTGTCGAACTTGTACTGACAATGAGTGTAGACCGAACTTGTCAATGATCATTAATTTCAAGAGTACTTTCTTTCTCGGAGGAATTTTTGCGATATCGTTCGGCGCCATCAAATATTCCTCGTTTCGCTCGGTATTTTCTTCTCGGAAATAATATCATTTCGATTATCGATAGCCGAGGTATTGTCGTCGCGCGGAAATGTTGCCGGCAACGAATGAAATTGCAGGCGCCATCGATTCTCTCTCTCTCTTTTTCCTCCCCGCGCAACGAGGAGCGAGCGAACCGGCGCGACGGACGCGAGTGTAAAATCACAGAAAAAATATCCGCCACTTGTCTCGCAACGCGGTATACCGGAGGGAGACCGCCACGAGAGGGCCGAAAATGAAATTTAACACTTCGGAGGAAAGCGAGCAAGAGACGAGGCGAGACGAGAGGATGTGCGATTGGCGTGCATACAACGTTGTCGCGCAACGAGATATTTCATGCGACGCGGCACTCCGAAGCGCGGTAACTCGATCTTTTCAAACAGAACACCGAACAATATAAAATCGTTCTCTTTGTCAGAGTGTGAATGCAACGTGGCGACGATTTGCGTGAATATATTGTGCCAACAAGTCGCGCGAACTGACAATCGTTCAGAAACCATCGTTCCCTGTTTGATTAAAATTAAGAAAATTAATTCAAAATTATGTTGTGATAAAAAAAATATTTAAAAATTTATTTTTTAAGAATGAAAGTTCTATAAAAGTTTCTATAAAAGAAACAAATAAGATTGTTGACGCGATAATAAATTGTGAGAGATATTTATAATTTTAGACATATACAAATATACAATTATAATAATTTAGATACGCACGCGCGCGTAATTACACTTTCACGTTCGACAAATCGGAGGCAATGTATTCGAAATACCGTTGTTATCTTATTGCATTTCATTCAGAAGAGCTAAAGGCGAGATTGAAATATCTCTTCTCATAAACACTGCAACCGTGATGTTTAACACATCTGTTCGACTGTTGAAATTAGCAAGAGAACATCTGTCGCGGGAGTTAAGTGAACAAATTCATCGCGACTCCCTCTCGCACCAGGACCTGTCCCTCGTACTTGACGCGCTTCGACCAGCGAAATTTCTGTCTTTCAGACACGACACGCCCATGAGATGCTCGATATTAATGCCGATAAAGATATAGACGGCGGGCGGAGGACAGGAGGGGGGGAGCTCTTGTAGCCGAGTGCGCGGGCCTCTAGTGCGCTTATAGTACGGCGAAGAGAAAAGTTATGAAGTGGACTTCGAGGAAGAACGAGGGGGAGTTAACGAGCCTCTGGATGAGGAAAGCACACAAGAGAAATAAACACGGCTGATGCCGCGGTCGTTAAGAATGGTAGCCTTGGGAACTTCTCCCGTTGCCGATCTCTCACGGCGCGGCAGAAGTTTCCGCGGCAAGAGAGAACGATCGAATCAAAGGGCGTCGGGATAGAAATATCAGAGGAGAAAAACGACAAGAGACGGATTAGGCATTATCCTCCCGGCGGGAAACAACATCGCATTCGGTAAAAGCAGCAGCACGTTCTACATCGCGACGAAATGAAGTGCACTAGAGCACGATAATTGTGAAAAATAACACTTTCGACGACCGTCCGTTCGATCACTGTAAATTTATCTTTTTCTTCAGATTTTAATTAAAAAAAAAATTTCCCAAGTTTCATTTCTAATAATACTCTACGACTTATTCGGACCGGCTGATTCGCTTGTGTATACATTTTTAAGCACAAAGCCGAGATGAGTGTCACAGAGACTCTTTCTTCCTTTCCTTTTTCCGGCTGAGAAGACGAAAGCTTTCTACAGAACCGAAAGCGGAAAAATGAAAATAATGAAAAGCTCGCACGGATATTGCACTATGTGACCTTCTATTTGATCCGAGAGTACAGATGCTCCTATATATACACGTGCACATTCGTAGAACTTACAAGTAGAGAAAACTCGTGCAAACGCGAGAAGAAAAGAAATGTAAAAGAGAGTCGACAAAGGAGATGAAATTATCGGGCGTTCCTTTTCATAAGTCGCTCATGTCAATTATATATTTATATGAAAGCAGGTTATTAATCATAGTTATTACACGGAAAGAACGATTTTGCTGGAAGGTCTGAAAATTTTGCTGGTTACAGATCTGAAGATAATTCTTGTTGGACCATCAAAATAATTTTGTTGAAAATTCAAACTAATTGCTAGAATATCAAAATGTTTTACAGCAACGCTTATCATTTTTGCGTTTTCAATAAAATTATTTTCAGCTCCAATTTTTTTTACCTTCCAAAATCGTTCTTTCTGTGTGGCATTGTTTTTTTTTTTAATTCAGCTATCATAATTTCTATGAGTTGCTTAACTTTGAAGTATTAATAAAATCCACTGTACAAGAACAATTCAAAATTTGTTAATGCTGCACAACATATAAAACATCTGTTTCAAAATTTCCAAAAAATTAAATAGAAATAATTCACAATTATACTCGACATACTGTGTCGAGAAATTTATTTCTCCATTAAACAAAATAAAATAAAATGTCACAGCTAACGAGCAATTTTTAATAGAATTTTTAAAACTTTATCCTGTGCTATTCCTACAAAGTTCTCGATTTCAATTATAGACATATATACGGCAACGCTCGCAAACGAAGGATTAAATCAATATTAATGTGCCAACAATTCCAATTACTCCTCTACCCTAACTCGAGCGACTATTTTACTTTTATTACTCAAACTCTCGATTTTATGCGTCCTGCCATTGCTTTCGCATCATAGCTTTCTCATTCGGCTCCATTTAATCGTCAAATCCTTAATCTCGCTAATCAAATGCGTTTCGGGGAAAATCACGCATGCGGTGCGACAATCTGCTATGTCGCTTTACATGTAGCCGCGCGCGTATATATCGTTCCCTCATACTAGCTCCTGTTTATCCAAATCCCGCGACCGTATCCCGATTTATGCAATCATAGGTATACAGGCGCGTCGCGCTAACCTCGCACTGCTCGCACGCGACGGTCGCGTCGCGCGGCTCCCCCTCGCACATCTGGCACTGCAGCCGTGAATTCCGCGACTCCTGGTACTTGTCGACGATATGCTGCATCGCGCGGTACTTGGGCAGATTGTGGGCGCCGCCCTCGTCGAAGTAGACGGTCTTCTGGCAGACCGGGCACGAGAGGCAGAGGGTACCGCCGGACGGCGGGAAGCCGCCGTTACCCGGGGTGCCGACGTAGCTGCCCGGCCGCGAGCTCGTGGACGTGCTGCTGCAAACCACGCCGGAGTCGGTCTCCGACAGGATCGACAGCTTGTCGGCCTCCTGATCGGAGCCGGGCGCGTTGGACGAGTCGACGGTGGACTCCGGCGGCGAGTCCGGCGGCGCCTGCAGATTTACCGCGCAGGCCAGGCACAGCGCGTGCCAGCAGGGCAACAGCACCGGCTCCACGAACAGCTCCTTGCAGCAGGGACAGCGCAGCTCGTCCTCCATCGCGGATGCACCGGCGGTACGTCGTCTGGCGGTCGTTCTGGGGTCCGTGGACAATTCCTCGTGGATCTTCTCGAGCCGCGGCAGCGCCTCGGATCGCTTCGTTCGGGTCTGCAGGATTCCTTCAGGATGGCGCGGACGACGACGTGGCGGATGCGGCGGCGTCGAGGGTCCCCGTCGATCTCCTCTCACCGATCACCGCCGAGATCGAGATGCACTTTACGCCAGAGTATGGTAGAACGCAGAAACGCGCGGAGTACTCGAGATTCGTCGCTGCACCTTCCCGCGGACTATTCCGTATTCGTTCGCGGAAAATGGTACCCGCGAGGGTCTCTCCTCGAAGAACGGTCTATCGGAAAGCGTTTCTCGTAAACCGCGACGCTTCCGAAGGTCGAACTTTTTTTTTATATAGTCGAATAACAGAGCGGTCCTGCAGATCCTCTTCAAAACTGTTGATTGTCATGGAACATAAATCGGCGTGCCTTTGCTCTCGACGTGGAACGAATGAGAAAGGCTTCGAAGCACGCCGAGGAAGAGCTCAAAACTCGTCGATATTATATATCGATCTCGATTCAGAGATCGCGCCCGATTCCTGATTTCATCGTCAGCGTGCCGGCAAGCTGTAAATCCAAACCGAATCCCACAATCGCGCGCGCGGAACACGCGCGACGATCCCGAGTGTTGTATCGATCGCGCCGAAAAAAAAATCCCTCGGGTCCGCTCACCGGCGCGCTCGTTGGCGATGCATCGCGTACGCGGGGCGGAACGCACTATATACGCACTTCACGAAACAGCGGAGCGGAACGTAGCCTCTTCCACGTTTCAGCGGGTACGTGTCACCTGTCGACCGCGCGCATCGCGGGCTCTTTGCATTTTCGTAGCAAGCGCGCCCGCCGTCCCCTCGTGTCGTCGTGTTTCCTCACGTGCCCGACGACGTCCCGTGTTCGAAAGCACTAACGGAGTTTTAATCCGACTGGTCGGAGTAGTTGGATCGCGTCGGCTTACGACACAGTATAGATACGCACCGCGCACGCATGAATGATATATCTGATGATTTTACACACGTACGCACACGCGACGCGGCGTCTCGGCTCGAAACTCGTGAGCGCCGAGGAGCACGCTCTTGGCAGGGACCAGCAACACGCAGCCTGTAAGCCGTCACCGGGTTGACTGACTCCCGGCACCGAGTCAAAGAACCGTCGCGCACCGCGGCCACGCACGCTCAGGAGCGTGATCGCGCGGGGGGGAACTCGAGAGGTATACGTAGTACATAAGGCAGAGGTTCCCAAACTTGTTTCAGCGTTGCATCACGTATTTTCCGTATCTTACATACAACCCCGTTTAAGAGACCCCCCCGTTCGTTTTACATATAAATCAAAATCGAAGACTCCGCGCCAAGAAAGTCAAGCAGCGAAAAATAGATAAGGTTAAAAAAACAATTCCTTTGAACAACGTACGGAAAAAAGGTGACGCGCGTATAAGCAGTCTTAATTGAAAATTATCTTGTTAATTCAATAACCGTAAGAATTAAATACTTGTTTTGTTAAAACAAGAGTAAAACGTATTGCATTAACAAGATTGTTTTCAATTCAATACTAATCTGTTAATCATCTTCTGTTCCATGTAGAAGAAGAGAAATATTCTACAGGCTTATACTTTGTACTTTGTAAACATATACTCTTATTGTTAGAATAGTATTATAACTAATTATAGTATGCTATCGATTATTGGCACTTTTCACAACGGAGTGCACTTTTTCAACGGAATTAGTTTATGTAGAATCACTTATCATATGTATGTGTACATAAATTTTTTCTGAAATAAAGTACACGTATATATAAATAATGCCGTTTTCAGATCTTTAAACGTGGTAAATATTTCCATTTCGCTCTCATCCCCAACGCGAATCCCTTTCTTTCTATCGTAAGTTTTATTTTCGCACAAATATGTTATTGTGAAATTATACTCGCCATATGGAACCGGTTTCACGCTCTGAGCGCATATTTCAGGGACGCGCCTACGTGAGGCACTTACATCGAGGCCATTCGAGAATCGAGCGCACGCGAAGACTTCGTCCGAAGCGAATTTATAAATGCCCGGGGAAACATTTACTAATTATATATCCACAGCTGACGCTGAAGTGTATATTAATTAAATTTTGTAATTTTGGATATTCACTCGCTTGGGAGGGAGAATTGGATGGAATTCTCTTCTTATATTGATCTTCGCGTATCTCTAAAAGTATATATACCTTCAAAACATTTCAATATCTAATTACGAAAAGTTTAGATTGCGGATAATCGTTACAAGGGAAAACCTCGTCGTTTCCTTCGAGGAGAGGGAAAGCGGTTATTTGAATAAAAGTTAAGACATTCTCACTTCAACGAAGACGTTACCGTTGAAATTGTCTTACAAGCGGAGGCTGGAAGCACTTGCGGGGAATATATCCGCGGCGATAACTTCTTACAGGCCGCAAGTAACTTCGCGACAATACTCGTCTCGCGACGTCGCGACAGGAGTATCTCTGACGTACGAGATAATAAAACGGAAAGACAGAGCCAGTTCTTCGTTGCCGCGCGGCGAGAGATGCGTGAGAGAATTCCGGTTCTGCGGGAAGGAGGGGAGGGGGGGAGAGAGAGAGAGGCTGAGAAACGGGACAATGGGTGGAGGGTTGGAAAGGGCAGGGATCCTAGATCCGGGCGCGATATAATACAGGCAGCCAGGTGCGACACGATCCGCATGCGGTACAGCCGGCGCGCGATTACCCGCGTTTTAACGCGAAACTTCCCTTTCCCCCTCCCCCCCCTCCGACCGAAAGTTCTCTCTTTCTTAATCAAAAACCGTCGGATTCGCGTTCGCTCGCAACACGGGTGAACGACCCCCGCGCGAGGGGGGAAATTCTATCGTTAAAGCTTCGCTCGCGTAATGCACCCGCTCGCTCGCCCCGGCGCGGCGCGGAGAGAGCGGGGGATATGCCCATCCGCGAAACGGGAATAACGAAACTTACCGCTAATATCGCGAAACCGCCACCGCACGGATCACCGCGCGGCATCGAAATTGTTTACCGGGCACCGTGCCAGCGCTATTAAGCGATCGTTTATTTATATCTCTCCGCTCGGCCCACGCGCGCGCGCGTGTGCCCGCGCCTTGAAAATAATGCTCCTGATACCCTACGTATATATAAATATACGGATTATGGATGGCGGGATTAGCGGGCGTTGCTTAGAAAGTGCATACGGGTTACAATTTAGAAACGATGAAATATTAATGCGCGCGATATGCAAGTAACGATATACTGCCGGTAATGCATGTACACGCGGCTTGTTTTCTCCCGTTGCGCTATGTAGAAATGATCCGTTCGGTCCACAATCATTTCTTAGTTAACTCGGTGGGTATCGATTTTTCTTTAATAAACCTACTTGGCCGGTAATAACCCTCGAGCTGTTGCACGATTGAGGCTGAAGGCTCTTTTTTTTTTTTTTTAGCGAACCGAATCCCGCTCGCGCAGCAAAACGTCGCGCGGACGCACGTGCACGGTCCTTATAGGTGTATACGAGTCTGTAATGCGGGCGCGACGGGGAAATTTTCGCTGCGCGTATAATATCCCTTTCGCGGTGTTAAGCATAACGCGCGCGTCCCACGTATTATCTCTCCCGCGGAGATATTACCCCGTTTCCTTCGCCGAATGATAAATTGGATTACGTCCGCCGCGCGTAACTGCCAATTACTCTTCGACCATTCGACCGTCCGACTTCGTACGCGTCCATACGTCCCGCCGTACGGCGAGGAACCGAGAAACGTGGACACGGTCATTTATCATCCGCGAGAAACCTCGGCGAAACAATATCTACCGTGTCGCTCCGTCGTCGTCGTCGTCCTCCGTTTCTTTCGATACTACGTGTAACGACAACTCGTATGTTACGAGGTCAAGTCGAGTCGAGCGTACCGACTTCGAGAGGTCCGAGCGCCGTTAAAAAGACATCATTAACGTAGTAAGAAGTATATATGGAACGTTTCTTGGTTGCGATTTTCAGTAGAAATTGAAAATAATTCGACTTGCGGTGTTCCAATTTTTTTTCGTTTTTTTCATTAGAAATGTTATTCGAGAGTTTACTTTCAGATAGTCTTCGGAGATGTATAACATGTATCGTTTTATAATTATACATATTTCATTTATAAATATTAATATGATATGAAATATATATTTTGTAATTGCAATAATTAAAAATTACAAGCGTTAGAGGCGTATGCAAAAGACGCATGAAAAAGACTTTAAAAAAAGATTAGAAGGAGCACCAGAAAAGAAAGAAAAGATGTATTAAATTGTGAACGGAAAAAACGATTTCGTTGAAAGGTCTAAAAAAAAATTTTATTGAATACAGATTTAAAAATAATTTTTGTTCAATAGTCAAAATAATTTTGTTGAAAAGTTAAAAATGATAGGCATTGCTATAAAACGTTTTAATATTCTATCAATCATTTTGACTTTCCAACAAAATTATTTTGAACAAAATTATTCAACAAAAATTATTTTTTTATCTGGATCCAGCAAAATTATTCTTTCCGTGTGTCGTTTTAGAAAATAAAGATTTTTTCACTACAAAATTATACCTTTTAATTAATTTATTTATTAGTCCGACATGTACCGACATTTCTAATAAAATTACTGCAATCTGCACTTTTAGAAAATAAGAATTTTTCAGCGAAACTGCAGTACGTTAGTTATATTAATGGAAAGTATAAAATCCGCGGCACGGAGAGAAGTTCCGGATGTCGCAGTGTTGCTTTATAACTATATATAATTTCGAACGGCATCGTTAATATATCAGAAATGTTATTTGAGAGTTTGACAACTGTAACGCAGAATGCGATAAGGAAAAGTATCGTGCAAAGCTGGAGGAAAGCAATCGTCGATGACGCGCCTATAACGGCGGCTATTAGCACGTTAATTAATTTTCACGCGGGGCCGCCGTAAGCGCGCAGTTTACCGAGGGAAACGACGCTCGCCGCGGCTTGCCGACACGGTCATTTGTCACCTCGGGAAAAAAAGCGCGTTTCGAAACCACGGCGGCCTCGATCGCTCGAGCGCGCGAGTATGTACGCGATAATTCTAATGCCTGCGTATTCTCCGCGTTTAACATCGTGACTTTGGCGATAAACTCATGCACGATCATTGCGTTCCATATCTGTAAAATCTTAGAAGCCTTTCGAGGTTTCGCGATACGAAATTATCGCGTTTCGAATTCAACATGGCGATCTGCGCACGTACTGCCGGTGGCTCGTGCTCTCGTTTTTACCCAATGACGAGTTTGATGATGTAAATACGTACAAGCCAGTCGACTGCGAATATTATATCAGTTTCGAAATAACTATTTCTGACTCTCTTCACTTATTTCTACCGCGGGCTAATCTGAGAGTTAAGCGGGTCGCGTTTGCGATTAGATTTACGTCTCCGAGAACGTGTCTACGGTTAGCTTAGCTTATCGCGGCGAGATTAAGTTAATACAATTATCATTTAATTCGTGTACATTCACGATTCGCGGTTGCGATTATTGCAATAATGTCGGAGCGGCAACTGTTCCCTTTCAGCCGCGCGCATATCTTTTTGTGCCTTTTGTATTTGCGGCTGTATCCAGAATTGAAGAAACACACGCGCGTAATATCTCGTTCGAGAAACGACGCCGAGAGGGAGGGGAACGGCCGCCGCGCCGTGGAAGAACGCAGAGAGAGATTGCGATAGAGACTTACATATATTCTCGTAGCTCCAACTTGACCGTTTCCTTAACTACGTGTCCGTGCTACGCGACGAAGACGCGACCGGAAGTACCAAACGCGCGTTATTTGCGCGGATATGCAATTATTTATGCATTTTTTTTACGCAACTCGCGAACGCGAACGCGGCGCGGACGACGCGGAGAGGCGCTTTGAAAATTTCGACCGAAATGCATCGAAACGTTGCGTCGAGGCGCCGCGTGATGGCGCCACTTACCGAACGCCGACCTTACCGACTCGTAGTGTTGGTAAAGAAATTAGAAACGAGAAGCCTAACCTTCAAGAGCTGTCAAGAGCTCAGGCTCGTCCACCTCAGATTGAATGTTAAATTCACAATCAGTCTGAATTACCTTCCTCGAGAAAGTACAAAAGAGAATGCAAAATGAATTCAATAAACGCGAAATATGCCTTCCAATCACCGAAAAGACCGAACTGAAACATATATATTCGTGTTATATTTAGATATATAAAACAGAGAGGATCCTCTCTGATATAAAATGCCAGAGAGAGAGAGAGCGAGCGAGAGAAAGAGGGGGAGGGAGGGGGAAATGCATAAGACAATAATTAATGATTACAATTATTCAGTAATCAGTAATCACCAGCTTTGTGAATAATGAAAAGCAGCGGAGCTTATAAATTAATAACCGATCATAATTAAAGAGTCAATTATTATCAATCGGGAAAACGATTGCACTTTTATGATTAATAGTCGACGTAACGACGTGACTCCCCGGCTACGAGAAGAGTTACGCGTGATTACTCCCGCGGTTTCGTGGATTGCTGATCGCCGATTAATTATACATTATCGATCGTCCGCCGATCGGAGCCCAGGTCTAGTCTCTGTCGCCGTCACTGAATCGGGTGTTTCTAGCTCATTGTTGATTGCAGCGTGAAACATAATCGTTCGCTCACAGCTGCTCGACGGCGCGTTTTACGGGGACGCGTCGCGAGGTGCACCGACACCGCGGGTTCGCGGTCGCTGGGAGTACGTGATAACATCTGGGCGATGGCCCTCGTGATAACTTCGCCTACTTAGTGTACTTACGCTCCGAGAGTAACCATGGCATGTGAGTATCTGAATTTGACGTTCTCTCTCAGCTGCTCGTTGATTCAGGCGCCTCTCTCTTTCTTTTTCGATACATCCGTGATAACCCTGATAACGCGTTTTAATTCTCCGAGCCTTAGATTAGACTCTCTCTTTACGGTGCGTGCAAATTATTAGCCTGCGATCGTCGCACGAGTATATCGCGTATGTATGCATTGCTGTGTTTTCGTTACGCCGCACCGGTTACGCAATCGACAGTCGTCACGTGCTCCACGTGTGGATGAATAAAATAATAGTTTGTAAAAAAAAAGAGGGAAGAAATTCGAAAACTTTCTTCTACGTCGAGTGCTTCTTAGGGAGTACATCGCTTTGAGACAAGTAAACTTTCTTCAAAATTAACTTTATAGTGCACGATTGAATTATTTTGCCGCACCGCACGATGCATATGTTTACATTTGTATCACGCTATAGGGTAACTGTCCCTATTAGTGTGCCCTGTACCTATTAGTGTGCTTTTATATTTAAATAAGTCATAAAAATAAACTGGTACAAATAAAGAGACAAAGTATTTTTTTTCTATAAAGTTAATACTTTAACTTAATAAAAAAATACTTTGTCTATATATTTGTACCAGTTTACTTTTATGACTTATTTAAATATAAAAGCACACTAATAGGTTCAGGGCACATTAATAGGGACAGTTACCCTATATCGATTTTTGCGTGTTCACGTGTAAATGAATAAAGTATAGTTTGTGAAGAGCCGGGATAGAGGAAAGAAATAATTTGAGAATATTTATTTTACGAGTGCCTCTTGAAATATATATTACTTTGTGATAAGAAACTCGCTCCAAAATTATCTTTATGGTGCACGATTATTTTTTTACGATGCACATATGTTGCATGATTTTCGTGATCGATGGATAAGAAAAAAATAATTTAAAATTAATAATTTCAATTTCTTTTTAGGTGTAATTTTATTTTTCCTTCACTGCAATTTTATTTTTCTTTGAGTGTATTACCTAGAGATAAAAAAAATCGCTTCGTAATTGATTTCGCAATGCCTGCTTTATAAAGTATGACTACGCAATTCTTATAATTAATTTTTTTTGCAGATCGTACGGAAATTTCGATTTATCGAGAACTGGATTATCATCAGTAACGAATCGTCGTGGGGTAAAAAAAAAGAAAGAGACAGAGAGAGAAGGAGAGATCATGAAATTGGACGTTAGTCGTTTAGATTAAAATGACACTTTAAATACGCAATTATCTGACTTATGGCGTCGATGTGGGAAAACTAATTGTTCGATCCCTATCGTGATGCTTTCCCGTAGACAGCGTGCGATCCAAATCTGAGGTGACCACGAATCCGACGCGATGGCAACGAACGTGATAGCGTCTCTGACCAGGAGAGCTGCACCGCAGCTGAATTATTTATGTCGTCGCCAATCCACCGCAAGGTATATATATCGGTCTCTTTGTAAGGTTTTCACACACCGTGACATCCCGAATAACGTTCTCCCCCGGTAAAGTCCCGCGGAATGACAGCATTTAATAACGAGCGTCCATTTAATCCAGCGCGAAACTGCAGTTAAGTTCTTGTCCAAACCACCGGCGAAACGCCTGTGATAATAAGCTCTTTAGCCGCGGATTAATAAACATCTCACGTACTTCGGGAAGCTGCAGCTTGTTACTCTACTACACGGAGGAAGTTTGACGGGCGTGTATATCTGTACATGCACGGATTACATCCCCGTCGCGTGCAGACTCCCTGTTGTGTGAGAATCCTATACGTCCCGTAAAATCTTCCGTAATTATCATTAACGTAAGAATATTCTCTGAATTATTGATTGTACACCACATCTTTTTATATAATTTATTATTTAATCACAACACCTGCAGGGTATTGTCTATAATCGACAATGAATCGTCAATCTCTTAAATTTGCATTAAAAAATACTCTTGCGGTTGAAGCTAGTCTATTCCTAAAATAGCTCAGATTTTAAATAAATAATTAAGGAGGAAATAAATCTCCTTTTTTTCCTTCATGCGAGAGGGAACGATTAAAGATGAACGGACATTTTTCAGCACATGCACCACGTACGACCTGGTGATCGTGGGGGGTGGCATCGTCGGCTGCGCGACCGCCCGCGAGATGATCATGCGGCATCCGAAAATGAAAATGGCAATCGTGGAAAAGGAGAACGAGCTAGCAAAGCATCAAACAGGCCACAACAGTGGCGTGGTACACGCCGGCATCTATTACACTCCTGGAAGCATGAAGGTAAACCGTAATTTATGTTAAACCGTTAAATGAACATATGACTTCTTGCACGCAGTTATTTTAATAGTTCGATATCACTTGCGATAAGATCAACAATGAAGATTAGAGGCGGTTAATGAAGCGCCATATCAGGATACAAGTCGATCACCTCTCTTATAGTGACATAAGAAATAATATGCTGCAAGTTTAATTCTTGGATCCCAAAATAAAAAAAAATTTCAAATCAACTTATGTAAAAGAGAAAATTAATCCGAAGTTGATTATTCTTACAATATTTTCAATATTAGTATTTATTTGCATGATTAAAGCATTGAAACATGACTTGAACCGTGATTTGATGTTGTTTACAGGCGAAACTTTGCGTGGAAGGTCTGAAACTATCGTACGAGTACTTTTGCAAGAATAACATACCTCATAAGAAAATCGGCAAGCTGATTGTCGCCCATAATCCGGTTCAAGTCAAGAGGATAGACGACCTCTTCGATAGAGGGACGAAGAACAAAGTGCCCGATTTACAGATTGTTGAGAAAGACTGCATTTCAAAATACGAACCCAAATGCAAGGTATAAACATAAGAAAATAATCATGTTGAACATATTGTAGAAATATCGAATATATTGCATAAAAAATTCGCAATGTTAATATTTCAGAAATTTACTCCCAAGTTTTAATCAGATATATCAAAATATATGTATATCAAAGCCTATTTTTAATAATTTAATTTATCTTTTATATTTTAATTTTATTCTTATATTGTATGTTACATAAAGAATTAATTAATGTGTAAAAATGCAGTTTTAGGACGCCATAAGTAATGTTTAAATAATGAAACGTGAATAATCCGTTTGTAGGGAGAAAAGGCTTTGTGGTCGCCGTGGACTGGCATAGTGGACTGGGCGGTTGTGTGTAAAGCTTTTGCCGAGGACTTTCGGAAATTGGGAGGCGAGATTTTTCTCAATTTCGAAGTAACCGGATTCGCGGAGATGGCGGAATCGAAAGGGAAGGGTCAACTAACCCCCATGGCCGTTCACTCGAAAAATCGAGTAAGATTCTCTTTCTGCGTAAGCCGTAGCTCATCACGCGTACTGTTATTAACTCACGTTAATTATCTAATGGCAATTTCTCTCTTGAAGTGCATACCAACGAAATACGCGCTGACATGCGCTGGTCTACATTCAGATCGACTGGCGGTGATGACGGGCTGCGATGCGAGTCCGCGAATAATACCGTTTCGCGGCGAGTATTTTCTGCTGAACGATAGCAAACGGCATCTCTGCACGACCAATATGTATCCGGTGCCTGACCCGAGATTCCCATTCCTGGGCGTGCACTTTACACCCAGAATGACCGGCGAGATCTGGCTGGGTCCCAACGCTGTTCTCGCGTTCGCTAGAGAAGGCTATAGGTACTGATCATTATAAAAATATTATTACTTAAATCATGAGATTGAATAGCGCTTGCAAGTATCGCAAGGAATCTAAATACATATCTATCTTATTAATGCAGTCACGATGTAGAAGATATTGACTTCTTCATGACGTTAAAATTTCTTTTACCGTTTCTTTTTCAGTTGGCTTGATATAAACGTAAGAGACTGCATAGAGATGGCAAAATTCCCTGGTTTATACAAACTGTGCATCCGATACTTCGTACCCGGCAGCATGGAGGTGATAAAATCAATTTTTCCTCCGTTGGCGGTGAAGGATCTTCAGAAATTTGTTCCCGAAGTTACGTACCAAGATGTTAAAAGGTCAGTATTTTTTAGCGTTACATCTATTTATATCTATATAAAAGTCTCTCATGATTAACAGAGGACCATCAGGTGTAAGAGCACAGGCAGTGGATAAAGACGGCAAGCTAGTCGACGACTTTGTTTTCGACGGAGGCACCGGTACGATCGGAAGCAGAGTGTTGCACTGCCGAAACGCGCCGTCACCAGCTGCAACCAGTTGTATGGCGATAGCAAAATTTATTGCCGATAAACTCGACCGCGACTTTAAATTTTAATATGCATTGATATATAAAACGTGAAGTTCAACAAGCGTTGAAAAACGACGGTTGCCAAAGAAAATGCAGATATTTTCCACGTGTTTTCCACATAATTTTTGTTATTGAACAATTTAGTATCTCGAAAAATATATATTTGTGTATATCGATTTATATACATTAACGTTTTAATTGTTATAGTAATAAATATTTAAGAAACAACTTGTTGACGTGAGATAATGGCAAAAAGGATCATTATGTACAAAATTCTATGCTCTTTTTAGCATTAAAGTGCCTAAAAAATGTATGCGTGTTGCTACAAATACTGATGAATACACCCGATTGGCGTTAAATGTCTGTTACGCGTTTCGTGTTAAAAGTTATAATTTATACTGTAACTAAATTACCTAATAAATTATTTTCTAATACGGAGATACGATACTTGAAAAAGTTTCAAATACAAATATGTACAGTAATGTACAATAAAGAGTTGAAACGGGGTATAACAATATATCAACGGTTATAACAATTATCACATATACGCACATAAGGCTGATTTAAAAAACTTTAGATAATTCTTAGTCTGTTTCCTGTTATCATAAGACGCGTGGTGGCAAAGTCCAATGCGGCAGTCAAGTGGTATCCCATGTTTGAGAGCACAACTCCGTATTCGCTCAGGGCGAACATTGAATACACTGAAATTATATAGCGACTCTCTAAAATAACGAGAACAAAGCATTGCGATGTGTAATTAACGAAAAAATGATTAACATCTCACCTAAAGGCTCGCAATACTTATTATGTCTATAAAAGAAGTAACAGGCTACTAATATAGATAACACATTCAACATCATTGATCTACGTTTCCACTTCAAGGAAGCATCGTTCAAGCCCTTAGCAACGTTCAGGCAACTCTTCATGACATAATACGCTAAGAACATGTGTACAAACGACGTTATCAAAAAAGTTATGAAAGACATCTTATGGAATGCTGTAAAAAAAAGAAGAGCAACATAGAGCACGTTAATTAGACTGTGCTTATGCGCGCTGGCACTCGATATTCATATACACATATTTATGCAAATTCTTAGGTGCATGCGTACCATAATTCTCATCGGAAGTCCAGAAGCTCAGTGTCACCAGAGAAGTATTTTCAATGGCGTACATGACGAGCGCGATATTACTAATATATTGCGCCCACTTGTAAACATGCTCCTTGTAATAACGATAGTACAGCATGAACACCAAGGTCCTCACTATCGCCTGCAACGCTATAGCAGTCTTCCAGACGTCCCTCTGGGGCCGATAGTGACCTATGGTCGCCGAGACGGACGGTAAAAAATTGTACACCTAGAAAATTACATGTAAAGAAGAAAAAAAAATGGATGATTTTTCAGGAGCCTTATATAAACTTGTAGGGTGCATTTTATCTTGTAACGTATGAAAGTTATTATAAATTTTTGTAAATTCACTTGTACAGAAGCATCGTCATTTTTCGAAAAACACGCTTAAATCACCTAATGAAATCCTTCCAAGACTCCTCTGGAAACCTATCGTATAAAGCGCCGTTTAATTCAGATCGAGTTACGCAAGACATAATTCCCGGTGTCACCGCGGAAAGAAACGGGCGTCGTTTATCTCGGCCCGATCGACAAGCCGTTTTTTACCTGGCAATGAGTGGAGGTGGAGTGCTCGAAGTTGTAGAGGACCGACCAGGCGACGCAGAAGACGAACGCCGCGAACGGCAGGAGCACGGTGAGCCACGCCACTCGTGAGAACGGCACGACGAGGCGGGCCTTCGACATTGCGTCGTCCTCCGTCAACGGGATATACTCTGACCCTAATCGGAGCTTGCTCATGATTTTAAACCAGTTGCGGTGTATCTGTTTACGTCATAACTTGCATGATCATTGCCGACAATATGAGGTTAATGCGGCGATCGTGACTCTCGGCCGCCGCCGCGGCCGGCACGCGCGATCCTCCCGGCGCGCGCTGCCTCCGGATGTTCCTGGACGCGACGACGAGTCCCCGGCCGCGGGGAACGATCGTACGCGACGATCGACGCGAACTCGCGAGACCGGTCCGCCGGTGAGCGGATCAACATCGTAGCATTCGTAGCAGGTTAGGTTCGCCGATCGATTTAACCTCATATATATATATATATGTGTGTGTGTGTGTGTGGCGTGTGTGTGGCGTGTGTGTGGCGTGTGTGTGGCGTGTGTGTGGCGTGTGTGTGTGGCGTGTGTGTGGCGTGTGTGTGGCGTGTGTAGTGTGGTGGGTGTGTGTGTGTGTGTGTGTGTGTGTGTGTGTGGTGTGTGTGTGTGTGTGTGTGTGTGTGTGTGGACCACAGAAAATTCTTTCTAGAGTATCTAGAAGTTTCTAGCCATAGCGCCATTTGAAAATTCGACTTTCGGCGGTCAACATTATGAATCTTCCGAAAACATATTTTCTGCTGTGAATAAGTTCACATTTCTTTTTATACATTCCATTCTTTTGAAAATAATTATCCACCGTTTCGAACGACTCGACATTTCGAGTACAATTTACATTTTTTATGGAATTTATGCGTTACGAAAAATCATTAAAAATTATTAAAAATGAAAATCTTTTATTTGGGCAATTCGGTCAACGTGACGTAGAAATGTCACATTGTTATTATTGTTATACGCGTTTAGTCCCGAAAAGGCGGCCAGCCAAAAAAGCAATTTTTGTGATTGTCAAGTGGGTCCGGGGGATATTGCGAAAATTGAACAATAATTTATTAACATGCAAACTTTTCACTGTCGATAACAAAATATAGTGATTTCAGCTGCAAGCAGCTGATTTGGCCTCATAAAA